TTATTCTTGTGGTTGTCTGGTAGATTTTCTAGCCCAAACTGACAATAATATTGTCCCATAGACACACTGCCTTAAAATTATGTAGGTACGGGCATATACGCTCATATAGTTAGTTGCAACAATTCCCTTTACTTTGACAAACTTACCAATAGTATCCTCAAGCAAGGCGTTAACACAGACTTGTGTTTCAAAGGAGGAATCAACACCACTGGTAACCGTTGAGCAAACCAAGGTATTGTGAGTAGATAAATACAGTATTGCTCCGCAGCACTCTGAACTTCTAGCAAGTCATTTTTATTATCCCCAACTAGATTCACGACATGAAATGGCCGTAGTGCTAAAGTAATTGCACTTGCAGTTATCAGTAACTGCTCATCTGTCTGAGAAGACAAAGTCACCTGAACGGAACTAGGAGCCTCAAGTTTACAAATGTACCTCCTTACAGAATTGTATAGTCCACTTTTAATACTTCCCATGAACTGAACTAAATCCCTAACAGCCATTAATGGACCCTGTATATTGGTATTGCTGATGCATTTCCAACCTTTCACATCAGTCAGAATTACTGCCAAGCGCATTGCTAATGATGCAAGTAGAGCATCGTTACTCTTGTGACAAGAATTATCATATTCTGTTAAAATAAACAAGCAAATGGTAATCAACTTCTTTGCTTGATAATTCCAAACTTTTCTCTCTTCCACGGATCCAGTAGCCATTGAGCAAAAGTTTTCATTGGGATCTAAAAAAGAAAGAAGTAGACAGATAAAGTCAACGTACGCTATAACATAATCAACTTAACTGACAAATAGCAATGGATAAATGCCAGATCATGCAAGGGGTAGGATTTTTAAAAATAAGGATTTATAGCTGGTATTTGTGCTTTTATGGTTCAAAAAAATAGGGAAACGGATTGTTTTCTTTCATCTTTTTATAGTATGTAAGTGAGTAAAAGGTAAACAATCATTATTCCATAACCAGCCATCGAATTGTTGAGAGTGTGTATGGTGCACAATTTAGCATCCTGATGAATTGTGATCCAGAGAGACGCTCAACATCATTGCAAAGTATTTCAGATACAGTCTTTATTATTTAATGTTTTATCTTTGATAAGGTTCTTTGTTATTATATGCTTCTAGAAGACAATGATTCTTCTTTCTTTCTGTTTTTTCTATTTCATTAATAACCCAATGCAGCTGGGAGCAGAACATCCACCAATTCAATGAATATAACTTTTTCGAAATTAAAAAAGGACTGGATTAAAGCACTTGTCAGGTGAAGCTTAGAAATATGGACATCATTCTGACAAAGAAGAGTTATTCTATAACCATATTTCATATGAACTCATAAAATGTAGAAGGAGACATCGAGACATGGGATACTTTTCTTGCCAAGACTTGCAAAACACAATTGTTATAGTAAGACAATCATGACTACAAAATTTGAATAGAAACTTAAGCACTTGAAATATATAAGAATAGCATACTTGTTGAGTTTATGCTCTCCAGGATAACTCCAAAACAACTCCTGATGCAATCTTTTTCTCTGGGTTGAATTCTTGGATATCGCGCCAACAAGAATGTAGTAAAGAAAAGAAAAGGCCTCAGAACTTGGCTGGATATAGACGATTTCTTTAGAGGAGAAAGATGACTATTTATCAATGATTCCCACTGCTGCTGAAACTCCAGGGCTATACGTTTTTTAACATGATAACGATGCCAAGCTCTCTGCACATATTTTAAGAAGCCGCATTCATAGTTGGCATCACACTTGAAGATGAGATCAAAACATTGTTTTCTTACAAGGCTTTAAGAATGCTACTGGTTTATATAAAAACTTCAAACAACAAAAGGATCATAATGAAAGAAAGCACAACACTATTTCTGCTGTATTATACAAAAGTGACCTCAACAAATAAAAAAATTGCAATGTGTATGCATATCAATGAATGATAAACCTTCAAACCACAGAACCACAAAAAGATTTATCATGTTTGCAATAAGAAAGAGATTACAGATTCCGAGTATCTATTTGTTCTTTCTAGTCCATTGTGATGGCATATTATTCAAGCTTCAATTTTACTTCTGAAGTTCATCCAAATAGCTAAATACATATCAAATTCTAAAACCAAAAAGATAGTCAACAAATAAAGTAAAATAGCCTTTCCTCTTTCTCCCGATAATTGACTTGGATTCCCCAAGTTTTCAACCCCCCATTATCTGCATTTGATTGTTATCTATACTGAGGTACATTAACCACTTAGGCAAAAATATACACCTCATCAAAATGAACCTTTTCCTTTTGCCTTTTCTTTTCTTTCATAGGTGACTTCACAAAAATTATAAGCACAAAATATACTCTTCAATATCAGGGTATAATCAGAGGCGAATCTAGGATTTTTCGAACATGGGTGCACCAAGTAAAATGTATTGAAGTGAGAATTGATCCTTAATTCTCAAGGTCAAAAGCTCAACATCTAACCATGTGGACCATTTAGACTTCTTGTAGTACAGGTGTAAGAATATAGTATTATACAAAATCTTAAAAAATATACATATAAAATATCTAATTTTACGAAGAGACCACGGGTGCGGGTGCCCTATTTTTTGGCTGTAAATTCGCCACTGGGTATAATAACTCCTCGGCTTGTTATTTAATTCAAAGAGAGTAAAGCACAATCAGAACATGGTCTCTTAAGATATTTCTAGTTAGGACTACGATCAATTCACTCTGAAACATAAAGTAACAAGACCATAACTGTGTGCCCCTGCCTTAAAAGATCTCAACTCATGAGCCTCACCTCCAACTTATTTGAGGTCTTTTCATTTTTAGGTAACTTATTTTTTTCATTAATCACCCGAATCAAAATTACAAAGCAAGCTAATTACCACAGTTAGCTTAGTCTCACTGCTAATAACTCCGTATCCAAATGCTATCTACCATCAACCTCACCAAACTAAATAACTAGGAGTCATTACTTTACAAAATCCACGACTGCGCTACATCTTTTGCACCCTTTGGTGCTCTAACATCACAAGCATAAGCAAAATTCCTAGTCAATCTAAGGTCATCCACAGCCAGTCATTTGAGGTTTTAAGGTGCTTTTGACATAGTAATTTTACTATCGCGACAATGAAAAGCCATTAAGTTTAGCTTATAATTACATGATCATCTACAACTTATTCGAGGTTTTAAGGTGCTTCTGACACAGTAGTTTAACTACTGTTACAATGAAAATCCACCAAGTTTAGCTTATAATTATCTGATCATCTCCAACCTATTCGAGGTTTTAAGTTGCTTCTGACACAGTAATTTTAACTATTGAGACAATGAAAAAGCCACTAACTTCAGCTTATAATTATATGATCATCTCCAACTTTTCAAAACATGTCGTGAGCACTTTACAAGCTAAAATAAAGTCATACTTCACGATCAAATCAAACATTGGCTCACGGCTATTTTTAAGCTAATAAATCCCGATTCACTGACCTGAATTAACCGCGCGGCAGCAGTAGCTCGCCGAGTAAAATTCCTCAACGCTCTCTCTTGTGAAACTTTTTCCAAAAGCACATCCCTCGAAATCTCCTTCGCACTTGAGCCTCGCAATGAAACCTGATCCAAACGGATAAACAAAATTCAACAAATTACTGGAATTCAAAATCATGCAAACAAAAAAAATGATCAATTTGATCAAATTCGCCGGAAAGGATAACAATTAACAACAACAATGATGATTATTATGCATATATAGACGAACCTGGTTCTTTCGAGATTCGCTCATGGCGGATTAACAGGAAAAAAAATGACTTTTGATGCAAAAGCTTGAAATGAATTGAGATTTGAGAATATGGGGATATGACAATTGGTTGAGCGGGTTTGTTTTTTGACCCGACTCCTAACCGAAAATGCAATATCCTTGTGGTGTTGTCATTTCGTAAACAGTTTAATTAATTTTACGAGATACTTATTATTTTCTACAAACAATGAATACTGTAACAAGTAATTTTATCAGAAAACGCTAGAACGGATTGAAGAAATTATCTAGTATTTAATTTCTACTGGAAATTGAATTTAAGAACTCAGAACAAATATTACTTCTCTTTTTATTTGACAAGAGGAAATTGTTCGGATGATAAGCACCCCTCACTTCCAACCCAAATGTTACGAGTTCGAGTCACCAAGGGAGCAAAAGGGATAGGAGCTCCTAGGGGAGGGTAAAAAAAAAAACTTCTCTTTTTATTTGTTAATGTTTACCCTACAAATCCAATCAATAAATAAAATACCTAATAATTTTCCTATATTACTTTTATGAATGGAATCAATAAGGCCTAGACTCTAGAGGTTTATCTGAACCACTTCAATAAATAAAAATATTTATACATAATTGAATCTTCTTTTAGCTTTTTCATGCGTTTGATCCATGAATCATTATCGTTTTTTAATTATTATATAATTAATTTTAGGGAAAATTATACGGTTGGGCAAACTTATACTACTTAATTACTCATCATAGCTATAGTTTGCTAAAATGACCACTCGCGACAAATATTATACAATAATTATGGTGGCTGACTTCGAGTTTGTATAATTAGCCACATTTGTGTATATATAATTCGCCAGAATATACAAATACATATGTATAATATACAATTATCTAACCGATATACACATAGAATTCACCTCTCTCCCACTCTCTGCCCTCTCTCGCCTCTCTCCTCCCTCTCCCAATCTCGCCTGCCATATATCAGTGGCGGATCCAGGATTTTCGTCAAGGGTGTTAATACTTTAGGACAAGTAAAAAAATAAACCTTGCTAGTCAGATTATAAAGATTGGCTTCAAAATATTCATACCTCAATATCAAATTAACCAACTATCCAAAATGAAAATTCTTAAAACGGAAACTTACAAAATATCAATGGATAAACTAATGAAGATGAAGTAGGACAAATATATTGACGAATAGTTTCATACACACCAAAATATGTAAATTGTAAAGTGGTAACTACAATTGCACTCGACGACACTTCATCTCTTGAAATGTTTTCATAATGCACTCATTAGAAACATCTTTAAATACTTTTTTCTCTACATAAGGCACTATGCAACCATCTAAGAATTCGTCATCCATTCGATTTCGCAAGTCATTCTTGATAATCTTCATTGCCGAAAAAGTTCTTTCAACTGTAGCAATGACAACAGGTAGAAGTAAAGCAAACTTCACTAAAAGAAATACGAGAGAATAGGTTAAATGCTTCTTTGTCTCAACCAACTTTCTTGAAAGTTCTCCAAGTCCACTCAAATTGGAGAACCTTTCATCAATATCACGAACATCAATAATGTAATTAACAAGGTGATTCTCAAGAGCTCTCATGTTGGAGCCATCAAAATCATCAGGATATATTTCAGTCATTCTCATTATCTTCTTTATGTCAAAATTAGAAAATGAATCAATTGGATTCAAGCAAGATACTCCATTAAGCAAATCATTTGTCACCTCATTAAAACGATCATTAAGTTCTTGCAGTTGCCAATCAATGATTTTATAAAACACATCCACACGATAATGATGCAAAGTAGTACAAATAACTACTTTACGTCATGATCTCTCAGAATTAGCATATGGATCATCAAAATTGGGTAATGAAATGTCATGTTTGATACAAAATGCTTCTACCTTTTCTTTAAGTGAATCCCATCCAATATTTTTTTTTAAGAAAGGATCTCATTCATTATCTCTTAAAGCTTGCAACCTTCTTTTTGCTACCTTTACAAGAATCATGGCATTTGCAATGTCTTGCTCCTTTTTCTGTAATGAAACATTAAGATCATTTGTGATTCCTAAAACATCTGTCATCAAATGCAACAAGAAAATAGTCTCAAACGTTTGACAACTTCTGAGAAATCCCAATGCGCTTGCTCTTTCTTTCAAAGTACTTGCATTTTCAACAAGAGTATCAAGTACATCAACAATAGAGTCAAAGCTACTAATAAAGTTTCCAAATGACTTGTAGTGAGATCCCTAACGAGTATCACCGGCTTTAACAAGACCAAGTTCTTGATTCAACCCTCTACCCGTTTCTAGTTCACCCATATCCAATGCTATTTGGAGATTTTTTTTGAGATTCTCGAAAATTATCCACACGTTTAAGAAACTCCCAACACATTCAAAATATTTGAAATTAATAATACAAGTTTACCTACTTGAACACACTTTTTAGAAACCGCAACAAGGGTCAATTGAAGTTGATGAACAAACCAATGAACAAAATGAGCCGATCTACTTTCTTGTCTAATCAACGTTTTAAGACCACCTAGCTCACCTTGCATATTACTTGCCCCATTGTAACATTGCCCATGTACATTAGATAAAGCCAAAGAACGGTGAGCAAGTACATCAACAATTGCTTTCTTTAGAGATAAAGCACTAGTATCTTTAATATGAACAAGTCCAATAAATGCCTCCATCACAAACCCCATTTTGTCAACATATCTTAGACAAAAAGCCAATTGCTATTTGCGTGACACGTCTCTAGATTCATCAACCAATAAAGGAAAGTAGTCACTATTTATATCCTTTATTATAGCCTTAACTGCTTCAATTTTACACGCAGTCACAATATCTTTTTGGATGTCATGAGAAATCATTTTATTATTTTTTGGAGCTTTTTCTAACACAAAAGGTTTAATTGCATCACATCTAGCAGCTAACCAAGAAAGAACTTCAAGAAAATTACCCTTGTTTAATGACGATTCACTCTCGTCATGACCACGAAATGCAAAACCTTGATCCAAGAGCAGTTTTACCACATCGATTGAAGTGTTTAACCGAATCCAATATTCATGCTTACTTTTATCATCCAACTTGTAAAATGCGGCTTGAATGGATTGTTGTTCTCGCATGAGATCTTCACACTTTCTTTTGGATTGATTATGAACGCTATTTGGTGGACCAATATGTGTAGCAAAACTATCCTTTCTATGCCAATTTGTAAATCCCTTAGTCGAAAATACATTACCACCACCTTGATTTAATGTTTTCCCCTTGAAACAAATAACAGGGTAAACAATAAGAAGCATCCACACTAATACTGTATTCCAACCAATCACGATATTCATCAAACCACGTATAAACAAAACGACGTGGTGTTCCAAAAAAATCAGTTTGAGGAAACTGATGATTTTGAGGTTGACAAGGACCTTTAATGATATATGCCCTCCTTATCTCATCACGAAGATTTGGATGATAATTCAAAATTGGAGTTCTTTCAGTCGGATCAGCCTTTAAATCATTTACATCAAATTCTTGTCTTTGGGAAGAGTGAGATGATATTTCTATTTGATTGACATTTTCATCTCGGCGTAGTTGATTTTGAGGCGCCAAACTTGTTTTGGGTACTCTAAAAAAATACTTCTCCAAACTCATTGAACACCAAACTGAAATAGTAATCAAGTTGAAGTATACCAAACTTATTAAAAATCATCCACAATACACCAAATAGTTGATCGATACTCAAATAAATAAAGTAGCTTTTAACATAAAAATTAAGATATTCAAGTCTTTCAACACATGATTAGAAAAAACTAAACTAAAGGAAAAAAAGAATTAAGAAATACCTTTTCACACTTCAATGGCGGTTGAGGAAGAAATATACAATGATTAAAGCTTCCAATTTCTTAAAACTTGCAAATATGTATGAAAGTTGAGAAGAGAGAAAGGTAAAGAGTAAAGTTGTAAAGGGTTTTTGGGAGAAGAAGAAGTCAAAAAACTAAAAGGAAAAGACAACTATGAATCTATTCTTTTTTTAAATTAAGAAAAGTCAAAAATAGACCTTTTGTTTCCTTAACTTAAAAAAGGTAACTTTTGTACTTTTTCTTAAGAGAAAAAGGGAACAAATATTAAATAAATGAAATGTTCAAGCCCCTGGGATCGAACCCAGGCTGAGTTTTGCCTTTTCTAAGAGAACAACGGAATAATGAAAAAATTTAAAGAAAATGTCAACACTTGGGCTCGAACCCGGAACATTGATGCATCTTTGCACAACCTTAACCGCTGGGCTGTCAACCTTTATTGTGTCAAGGTTGTTCAACAATTAGTATATATCCAAAAAACTCGATATTTAGTATATATACTCGTAAAAATTTTCCGACGAAGGTTGTTCATCTGACCACCCTCGCCATATCATAGCTCTGCCCCTACCATATATACAAATGCATATATATAATATACAATTATCTAACCGATATACATATACAATTCACCTCTCTCCCACTCTTTGCCCTCTCTCGCTCGCCTCTCTCCTCCCTCTCTCAATCTCGCTTGCCATATATACAAATGCATATGTATAATATACAATTATCTAACCTATATACATATACAATTCACCTCTCTCCCACTCTTTGCCCTCTCTCACTCGCCTCTCTCCTCTCTCTCCCCTCTCTCTCCCCTCTCTCCTCCCTATAACATGTAGCTACGAATTGTAATTATCAAACTATAGATATGGAGAGTAAATAGACTATTTTTGAGTGGCTATATGTGAAAGTTCCTCTTCAATTATTAGATACTTATGAAACATTTTTTAAATTTATATCTTTTTCCGCACAAGAGATTTGTTAATAAAATATAAAAGAGTTTTTTTTGTTAAAAAGAAGAAAACATAGATTCAAATTATAACTACTCATAAGACATTATTCCTCAAAACCTATCACTTCCAGTATAAAAATACATTAACGAGTCCTTAATAACTTGTGTTAATTTATTTTGGGATAAGGGTCTAAAAAATATCTCAATTTTAGTCGAATTTGTTGTTGCGATATTAAACTTTCATGAGGATCTATTACCTCCCTAGACTATTTAATACCGTATTTTTTACCCCCTGAACTATTTAATAGTGTATTTTAAAGGTATATATGTGCCCACGTGGACACATTACTATTTATAATTTTGCATTATTTTTTATATCCACATGGGCAAATATATATGTTTAAAATACGGTATTAAGTAGTCTAGGGAGGTAATAGGTCCTCATGAAAGTTTAGTATCACAACAACAAATTCGACCAAAGTTAGGATATTTTTCAGACCTTTATCCCTTTTAATTTCGATAAAGGGCCAAATATACCCTTGTACTATAGGAAATAGTTTAAATATACCCCTAGTCATACTTTTGGGCTAAATATACCTTTCCCGTTGTACTTTGGGGCTAAATATATCCTTATGATTAACTAACGACATGTGGATGGCCAAAATTAAAAGAACCATTCAATTAAAATAAATCAAATTTGATATGACCCGCCCCACCCCGCCCAATAATTTAACCCGATTTAATCTATTGACCCACCCAATTTATTTTTCAACCAAAAAACTTAACATCAAATTGAGTTCTCTCCAGAATTCATAAACCACAAACACAAGTCATAAATTATACACAAATATCTTAGTCTACAAAATAAGTCTAAGGATATGATTATGTGGTGGCCTGTTTTCCGCATGCTCCTTTCACCATCTTCATCAGTAGGCTCATCTACAAGACTTCGTACACCAACTATGGATTCCAAAGAGCAAGTGGACTGCTGCAATAAAAAAACGGGTAAATTACAGAAATCACATACTTTTAAGGCAAAATTATAATTTATCCCTTAAAAGTTTATAATTACAGAAATCCCTCAAACGGATACAATAATATAAACGCTGATACATTAATCTGATGCACGAGATACATTAATCGTTAAGTAAGATACATTACATTTTATACATGATACACTAATCTGATGCGCGAGATACACTAATCTGATGCGCGAAAATGAGGAATTTTGGAGATTTGTAAAACTCATAGGGGATAATGGTAATAAGTAAATTAAAAGGTGGGATTTCTGTAATTTTTCCATAAAAAACGCTAGCGTTTGTTGCGGCGTGAAAAAGTGCAGCAATTTAAGAAGTTAAAGTTGAAGTAGGTTTTCTGGAGAGAACTCAATCGGACATTAAGTTAGGTCGGGTTAAATTATTGGGTGGGGCGGGGCGGGTTATATTCGAATTTGATTTATATTAAATTGAATAGTTTTTTTAATCCTGGCCGTCCATGTGTCATCAGTTAATCATAAGGGTATATTTAGCCCCAAAGTATAACGGAAGGGGTATATTTAGCCCAAAAGTATAACTAGGGATATATTTTAACTATTTCATATAGTACAGGGGTATATTTGGCCCTTTTTACCGTTTTAATTTAAATGAGTAATTTTCATGATTGAAAATGAAATATAAAATAAAAAATTACAAAGACTCATTTCAAAAACTCAATTTACACATAGCTAAATAACTAAACATTTCGAAATTTTAATTCGAACCTCGTATATAAAATCATCGGTCATATTTACTTCGATCCAAGTTCAAGGTTGCACTTGACGTTTTTTTCTCAAAAAATAATAATCGAAATTCAGGCAAATTCATAATGTTTTAAGACTTGACATTTATTATTTTTAAAAATTAAAATTCTCAACTTTATTTCCTTCCTTTTTTTAGTGATGACATAAAACGTATAAAGCAAAAAATAAAAGACATAACAACTACAGTAGTAATAAAGATAGCACTTACCACCATGGATGTGTTCGAATCCTAGGTATGAATTTTTTTTTGATAATTTTAAATGGATCGTATCGATTATGGAGAGCGAATTCAGAATAATTAGGCTTTACTGTAGATATTGAACATCGGGCGAGAAATAAAAATAAAAGAAAGCACTTGATTTGTCCTATCTTTTTTCGATTATCTCAATTTTTTAAAACAAATTCACATTATTATTATTTCTGTTTTAATTTGTTTTTTTTTGATAAAATTTAATTTTAATTTTTCACGTATTTTATTTAAGGCTACATATTATAAGATTCAATTTTTATTTTTTAAGAAAATATTAGAGGGAATATTATTTTTTGTTTTTTATAAAGGTTTGGAAGTGATATGTGGCAACTAGCAATCAAAGAAGAACTAAAATTTGACACGTAATATGACTGCTTCGGTAAGAATTCTATTATTCTATGGACGGTTTTGTTTTTTAATGCCACCGATAAATATTTAGAATGTTAAAAATAATAATTAAATAATAAGACAACGTTTCTTTGGCTTTTAATGAAGAGGTATATAATAAATAATATATACACAAAATACTTCTTTCGTTTCATGTTTGAATTTTAAAAGTTGATTTTTTCTTAATTTTTTTTTATTGAGGTATCTGGCACTTCGATTAATTTCAGAAAATATTTATCACCTTTCATCAATAACATGTATTATTATCAAGTAATTTTATTCATCAAAGTCGGGACAAATAAATGAATCATATTTTCTCATATGTTTCTTTAAAGTATTTTTAAATATTTATTAATTATTACTATAACTTATAATTTTAAACGTTCCTTTTGATTCGTACACTTCCTACATTTTAATGTATGTGATGTTGTTTGATTTTTTGAAAGTTTATTAGTGTATTT